CCATTCGTGCTACAACTATACTACTAAAATAGCTGCAGCATGGCTCTACCACGTATAAAAATTTACTTTGACACTCTTTCTACAAGATCAAACCACCGAAGTAGCATTGTTAATCTTGGTCACAAAGTCTTGTTGCAAACCACACTTTTGTCTTATAATACGATATCTTACAATGTCATTAAATTTACGAAAAGTAAGAGCTCATAAACGTCCCACTACTGGGCACATCCCCGGATATATTATTGAGAGGATAATAATGTGGGAAGAGTCCGTTCATCATCATCATCGTCATCATTACAGCCCTCCACAAGTCTTACCAGGTCGTCACACCATCTAGTGATCACCTTCGTTGATCCGTCACCGTATCGCGCGGTTTAGAAGTTTTGTTTTTGGGTCGCAGAATAATCTCATCAAAATTATTTGTAATATGTATGCATGTAGTGAAATTTTTAGTAGATGGTCAAATTTATTAAAATGTTATTAATAAAATGTAATAATATCATTGATTAACCAATAATTATAATTAAAATTTAAGGTATAATTTAAAAAAAAATTAATTTTAATTTTGTAATGGATCTGTGTTGTCTGTATTAAATAAATTATTATTATATTATTATTATTATTTCGCCTACCGGTACGAGGCTACCACTCCAGAACCTTTTATCCCCATCGGTTGTCGGTTCCTCGAGCCCTATGACCGGCCCAATGCTACTTCAGCTTGCTAATCCGTTAAGAGTCCGTTGCGATGCTTTAATTTTTTTTTCATGTTTTGCTTTTTCTTTAAAACGTTAACCCTACACTAGGATTTTCTCTTGTATCGCGGGGACAGTTTACAAACATAGATTGCACGAGGATAAACATCCCAACCCGAAGCAATTATTTGTAGACTATACAAATACTTGTTCCGTGCGGGATTCGAACTTGCGGCCCCCAGCGGACTCATTGCTAAGCCACTGCGCCACGGAGCCGTCAGTTAGCGGACTTTAATTTATTTATTTATTTGACTAGGCGTAGTTTATCTATGTTTTCCATTTCTTTAAACCATCGAGTACGTGACAAATCATTACTTAAAACTGCAATTAATAATTTTGGAGGTACCAGAGCCAGAAAACGGTGGAACTGTTTTTCCGCATAGTAGTCCGTCCAGGTGCAGGTCCACAGCAGTGCTTGCACCGCTGCGATGCAGTATGCAGGTATATAATTACAAGCTGTAGACATTTCATATTAGTCCTCAGAGTCCACGTCCACATCTATAGTAGCCACTTACCATTACGTCAGCTGTAACTTTCTTTTACAATTCAGTATATAAAAAAAACTGAGGATGCCCTAATCATAAACTGCTACTACTAAACATCATTCACAGAGCAAATAATAGTGCCTTAATTTAATAAAAATAAAGATAAGACATTCCATAAGCATTTTCTTTGATTCAAATTACATGACACTTATTACTGAGCAATTATTCCAGTATACCACAAAAATATGCACAATTTCTTTACAAAAATTGACATGACAAACAAACAAACCGAATTCCTAAATTACCCTAATATCCCTTACAAAACTATTCTTAATTTATTCCTTTCTAAATTGTTTTTATAGTTTTGTTTCTTGTATACTTAAGTATTTTTTATTTTAATAAACTCTTTGTCCTCGGGCCAGATGGAGGTTAAGAGTAACACCATTTTAATTTTAAAAAAAATTCAAATTCTACAACATGCATATAATATACTATTTACATAACATAACATAAACACTAACGCCTGTCACCCAGAGGGGTAGGCAGAGATTATGGACTTCCATTTGGCACGATCCTGACACACCTCTCTCGCTTCCTCCAAATCCATATACCTACGCATACACGCTCGTCGGTTAAAGGTACTCTTGATTTTGCCCATTTTTAATATATCGCCAATTTGGTCGATAAACTTTCGCCTAGGGCGACCCTTCCCGACTATGCCGTTCACCTCTGCAACATAAATTTGCTTTGTCACTCTTTCCTCATTCATTCTTTCTACATGGCCAAACCACCGAAGCATTCCTTTCTTAATCCTGGTCACAACATCATCTTGCAAACCACACTCTTCTCTTATTAAACAATTTCTCACTATTATTTACTATTTACTATTTACAATTTACGTTATTGTATACTTATATAATAATATGCACCTATATTATTAAAACAATTCACTTAGGTAGTTTTAGCTTAGTAAAACTTTTCTCTACTAAACTTTCTAAAAATCTTTTTACATTTATTATTTTCACAAATAATATTCATAGCAGAAATATGGAAAAATAATTTTAATACACTTACGAGAAATTCATACTAAGTTTAAAAAAAACTCTTGCTATAAAGAAAAAGGTAAAAGTAACAATTGTTAGTATTTATAGAAGGCAAAGACATCGAACTATCCCGGTCAGTGATTCCTTGTCCTGGAAACCGCACAGGCGCGGCCCGGGCAAATACCCTGGGAGCGGTGCGTCTGTTCTGAGCGAGACAACTATATGCAAGAAAGGAATGGAAGACAAAAACCTGCGCGGACATAACACGGCGCGCATAACGCATATCTGGGAAATGGTTAACAAAGATTAAGTACCTTTACGAGGCGATAATCCGTATAGAATTTGGCATGAAATTCAGGTGTGTTTCTTTTTCATTTCAACTAGCGTCGTGTTAATTGTTTTACGATTATCAACTTAATATGCAAAGAGTGATGTAAGTTTCTTATAACTATAGCATTACTATATACGATAAGTGTAACTGATCAATGAAAAATTGAATTAATTAAGTTAACGACACTACCTATAAAATTTATGAAAACGTTTTCAATTTCGAAATTAATGTCAAACGTTCAACTTAACTAATTTATACCACTTTCATTTTAATTATATAAATCATACTTTTACTTTAATTAATATGTATTTAATAGGACTTAACTTCAACGATGCGAGTTTGTTACTATCCACCAAGCGTTATGATTATTAAGTTAAATCACTTCTAAAACGAGATACGCGTCCAGTCGTGGACTTTATGCACTGATGAAAAGGAATAAAAATTATGAAATAGTGTTACCTATCTTAAGATTAATTTTCTGCACTTTATATTTTATTAGGTACAAAATTTTCACGAGTGATACGTGTGTATATTGTTGATGTAAACGTAGTAAACTTACGGATGTCAAGTTCTACTGCTAAGCACAGACCTCGTCATACTTAGAGGGAGTTTTATGGCAAAGAAATTTCCGCCACGTTGCTCCAATGCGTGTTTACCAACTTAACATCACTTCGATTTTTTTTTAATTTTTCAGAGATTTAGGTTCCTCACGATTAGGTTCTTTCACCGCCGATCACGTGATAAATAGGCACTTATAATTTCAATTAATAGTATTACAATTTCATTTCGGGGCTCGAACCCTGGTTGTTGGTGTACTGTGAAATTTACAGCAAACTCTTAGCCTCCGAGATTCTACATCTCTTGTTGGTTTACTGAATTAAACAAATAAGTAAATACTGGTAGACTTAGAAATTACGCATGTGAACGAAAAATATTGCTGAATAATATTTGAAATTGGTTATAATAATTAATGGGGCCAGTCCTTTTAAAATGTTGGTACATATATACATATTCTTAGAAACGTTGTTGATTAATATGACGAAAAATCTTATATTCCACAATTACACTGACTCTTTTATGACATATTTGGTTAAATTTCAAACGCGAAAACGTTATTATCATCTACAAATAATATTACGTACATTATTTTATACTCTGAATTGTAACAAAAACTAAAAGGTTTTTTAATCAAAATTATCTCAAGGATTACAAGAACACATATCTAATAGGCGCATACTTGAAAAGGCGACAACAATTCAGTGGTGGACTCTAAAAAAGCTGTCTCTCATTTTAAGAGAGTTATAGAGTAATTAGTACCTACGCCGCGCGAAATTTTAATCCCCAGACATGCAATTTTCTTCATGATGCTTTCCTTCACCGCCGAGTACATAGAAAACAAAACCCCGAAAACAAAAAAGAGCTGATGATCTTCATGCGACTGAAAAGATTTTCTTGAATCATAGCTACAAAAACTCTCGATCAAGTCACCTTTCAAACAAAAAAAAAAACTAAATCTAAATTGCTTCATCCGTTTGAGATCTACAATGCCACAGACAGACACACAGATACATACGTTAAACATATAACACACCTCTGTTTGCGTGGGGGCTAAAAATAGCAACTAACAGAATTTTAAATGCTACTTTATTTTTTTTGAGAATATTTATTGAGAAATTCATCGCAAGCACTTCCCTGAGGTACCAAAGTTTAATTAAATAATAATATTAATTTAATTAACGCTAATCTTTATGTAAAAATTTACCAATGAAAAAATAGTAATATTTTCTTCAGTTTTCACATCATTATTGCAAGTTAGTTGTGTACGTACTTTCTAGTTTGTTTAATAATCAATGGCATCAAAGAGACTTACCGCTGCGATTTCTTTTGATCCGCCGTACAAAAACATAAAGACTTCACAGTGGATACTAACAGTGTCTAGGAATAGAGGGCCTAGTTTTAATTTATTGGCCCCTTACCTCACACTCGTATATATTATTGATTATTCAAATTTATTCATTTTTACGTCTTTCCATGTAATCAATGTGCGTGTCTTTTAAGCAAGAGTGAATAGACTGTTTTTGAACTAGGTGGAATCTATATAGTGAGTGTAGAGAACCGGCGACCCTTTTTACTGGGAAAGAGGCATTCCATTTTACTCCTCACGGGTGATAACGCATTTGCATTTTGATTCGCAAACGAGGATAGATGTAGATGTCTATGGGCCACGGCATCCACTTGCCATCAGATGGACTGTGTGCTCGTTTGTCACATATTCCTATAAAAAAAACCTATACTACTAAGTCAAACTCAGGCTTACTAGTTACTTATAAATAAAAAATATTTCATATGAAATAGTATACCGCCATAAATTGGAGGTCATGAAGTGTATCTGATATTTCCTGTAATCACCTTCTATGATACCCATGAGTCGAAATGCGGCATCGGTTTCTGCTACGATATATCGGGTATATTTTTGATGGATTCTGTCACATTTACCGTATTATCATTTTTATTACAATACGATTTAGTAGATTTACTTCTTATACTATATTTGATTTTATTTCGTAATAAAAGTGATAAAATTTACTAAAATATAAGGCAGGCACATTCAGTTATAAATAAGACTATCTGTACGTTAAATGGTTTAAATAAAACTGTAGTTTTGCATTGTGAAAAATCATAAAATATTTTCAGCCGAGTGAAAAAAAGAAGTTGTTCAATTTAAGTTTATTTTTTAATATAAACATACAAATAATCTCTACTGGTTTTATGAAGATTAGTTTATATTTTAAAAGTAGTTTACATTATGTAGTTTCAGGTATTAAATAGAATATGTTCCACCAAAGACATCCCACGGAAATATGCGAACTAAAATATAAAATATAAAAAAATGGAATTTGACAGGAAATATCAAATTTGCGACTAAAGGACATCCTTAGCTAGAAAGAGTATTCCTAAACCATAGTTTCAACCCGAGAATACTATTAAACCATGTTTTGTAATGAGACGGTACTTCATGAATGATCAGTAAAGGTTATTTCGCATTCACAGTGATCCCGTACGAATTTCAGCCAGATTCTATAATTATTTTGGTATATAATCCAAGACTATAAATGGATTTTTCGGGGGAATAATGTTTTAAAACAAACCAATTACACAAAAAATATGTATGCTACAATAATTGTCCATATTAATAACACAAAGCTAACGTATTTTATAAAATTTACAATATTAATGCGATCCGGCCCGGCTTCGCACTGTTGATTTCTGGATCTCGAGAACAGTGCCACCTACCGGGTCCTATTGTGAATCGTTTAGATCATCCAGGGACTCACTTAAACACACCCAAAAAATTTATCAAAATCAGTCGAGGACTAAAGAACAGCAATCTATTTTTATAGGTATATAGAGATATAATAATATCTGTTCTTTTTACATTTGTAATCGAATTTAAAGACAAAAGTAACGCTATAAAAATTATCAATGTAGTGTGTAAGAATATCTACTACCCCATATAATGTCAAAAGAGCCGACAGAGGAAAACTTAAACAGGAGATGGATAGCAGCATCATTCTGATAACAACTAAAATTATAAAAAAACTGCGGCATGGCAACTATGGTATTCCCCCGTACGAGACAATCAGTGCGAAGGCCTGTGTTTAAAAGTTGCCTTTTACAAGCTGTAATGGATGGATAGACATTCTTTTAGTTGATAGACTCCAGATTATCCAACTTACTACACTGGTGATTGTGTAAGAATATCCACTATCTCATATCGTTACGTGGGGGTCGAAAAAGGTAAAAGAGGGAAACAAATAGAGGCCTATGTTCAGCAGTGCACTTTATTTAGGCCTAAATGATGATAATACGAAATAACTCTCCATTTAGGCCTTACTGTTTACCTTCAAAATTATTGAGCCGAAGACTGTTGACAAAATCCAATATTATAAAAATTAAAGTTACCCTAATCTATCTAGCCAATTACCAACACATACATAGTCTGTGATAGAGCCGTACTGCAGCTATATTATATACGTGGTGGAGCCAAGCTGTAGCTATATTAGTAGTATAGTTGTAACACGAATGGGTCGGCTCGAAAATAGCAGCTTAATGCTCCTGTGTTTCATATGGTAAGTGTAAAGAACCAGAGACCCTTTTTACTGGAACCGAGGCATTCCATCTTAGTCCTCACGGGTGACGACGCATCTGCATTATGATTCTTTAGTTACGATAAAAATAGATGTTTATGTGTCACAGCAACCACTTACCATCAGGTGGACTGTGTGCTCGTTTGTAACCCTTATCCTATAAAATAAAAAATAGAAAAGTCTGATACTAAAGTAATAAATTTCTGTGTTGTTTTTGATATATTTATATCAAAAACACGTTGCAAATTTGATGAATAAGGCAGGTGTGAGGCGAGTCGTCGTCAAAAAGAATTTCATTTGGTATACTTTGTAATTTCAAGCCAATGTAAGCGGGACTCGAGGGAAAAATATTTTTCTCATAGGTAATTAACATACCACAAAAGATATAAAAAACAACTATGTATGCAATTTAAGTGTTTTACTTACACGTCGTCTGTGATCAAGAATGATTCTGTTTCGTTTTTTTTTAGATAAACAATCACAAAAATAAACGCGGTAAGTATATAAGACAATAAATAAAATAAGATACCGAGTTTTGTTGTCGAATGTTTTGTACGTGGTAGAGCCATGCTGCAGCTATATTAGTAATATAGTTGTAGCACGAATGGGTCGGCTCGACCGGGGAAGGGCCACGCCCCCACAGAACACCAACGTTAAATAGCAGCTTAACACTGCTGTGTTTCGTATGGTGAGTGTAGAGAACCGGAGACCCTCTGGGAATGAGGCATTCCATCTACCCTTTTTACTGAAAAAAAGCATTCCATCTTAGTCTTCACGGGTGACAACGCATCTGCATTTTTTCGCAAACGAGGATAGATGTAGATGTCTATGGGCCACCACTTACCATCAGGTGGACTGTGTGCTCGTTTGTCACCCTATCCTATAAAAAAAAAGAAAACCCACTATCACAGACTGAAAACAACTTAAAATGGCGGGAAATGGCTGTTCTATAAGAATCTATTGTTTATGGTAATTAAGCCCATCCAGAAGATTAAATGAAGTATAGAAATGGGCGGCAACGTATGCTTGATAACAGCTCAAAATAAAAACATCTGCGGTTTCTAAGTCACCCACAAACGTGACAACTAATGCAAATATCCCTATGAGACAATCTGTAGCGAAGGCCTATGTCCGCAGTGGATTTTTCATAAGCTGAAATAAATCATAAAACAACCCAGCTAGTATTTTGTTTAACTTATTATAAGCCAGTGCTTGTTCACAGTCCCACCAGTGGTGATGCAGCTCTAGATGGTAAATAGCACTGTCTTAGCGTAACAAAAGTCTATTCACTCTTGCATTGAAGACGCCCAGATTGTATTCGGACGGAAAGATAGACGTCGGCAAAATTATTCCACTATTTAAAAAACCATATATTACAACAAAAAGATGCTGCTCGTACTCTTATTTGTCTACTCGGGTTCGCTATACTCTGAAAATTTCAAAGCTTACGTGGTAGAACCATGCTGCAGCTATATTATATACGTGGTAGAGCCATGCTGTAGTTATATAAGTAGTATATTTGTAGCACGAATGGGTCGGCTCTACCGAGGAAGGACCGCGCTCTCACAGAATACCAGCGTAAAATAGCTGCATAACACTGCTGTGTTTCGTAGGGTAAGTTTAGAGAACCGGAGATCCTTTTTACTGTAAACGAGGCATTCCATCTTAGTCCTCACGGATGACAACGCATCTGCATTTTGATTTGGATCTTGAGAATAGATGTAGATGTCTATGTACCGCAGCAACCACTTACCATCAGGTGGACTGTGTGCTCGTTTGGCACCCTTATACTATAAAAAAATAAAAATAAAGCTAATCGTCTTTTATAAACACCTCATACTCGTAGAACATCCCTCAGTTACAGAGGGATCTTTTATTGTTTGTTATTTTGTATTATACTATATACTATGTAATATAAACTTAAAAAAAATATAAAAAAGGTGGATACCTGGATAGTTTATTTCACCGTTCCTTCACCGGTTAGATGAACCTAATTTTAAAACGGTGGTATAGATCAAAAAAATTGTATTTGTCAAACGATATTATAATTTCGTGGTAGAACAGAACCATGCTGTGGCTATATTATGCTTTTAGCGCGAAAGGGTCGACTCGACCGAGGTGCTGCTGTGTTTCGTATAGTGAGCGTAGAGAACCGGAGACGTTTTTGACGACGACTGCAAAAGAAGCATTCCATCTTAGTCCTCAGGGCTGACAACGCATCTACATTGTGATTCTTAATTGTGGATAAATGTAGATGTCTATGGGCCACAGCATTCACTTACCATCTGTAATATAAAAGTGTAATATAAAAAAATAAAAAATAAACTAATCCCAGACTTATTTTTGTTAGAATTAACAACTTCTTCTCTCTTATTTTTGTAAAAACGTCAATTACATCTTAACCACATGTGCACATAACATCATTATCAAAATGACGATATAAGAGAAGCAAATACATCGCCTAATCTAATCTCTTATCGTAGGTTACTCGTATTTTTTTTTATAGGATAAGTGTGACAAACGAGCACACAGTCCACCTGATGGTAAGTGGCTGCCGCGGCCCATAGACATCTACATCTATCCTCTATCACAAATCAAAATGCAGATGCGCTGTCACCCGTGAGGACTAAGATGGAATGCCTCATTTCCAGTAAAAAGGGCCTCCGGCCACCTGCACTCACCAAGCGAAACGCAGAGGTAAACCTCTACTTCACGCTGGTGTTCTATGAGGTCGTGGTACCACCCCGGTTCGAGCCGGCCCATCCGTGCGACAGCAAAAGCCGCCACGTGGCTCTACCACTGTTAAATATTGTTAGTATTCTAAAAGGTTATTCAAGTGAACCAAACCTTGTACTCACTCTCATATTTTTATATATGATAGAACTGCAACTATATTATTGTTGTAGCACGAATGGATCGGCTCAACCAGGGAACGATTACGCTCTCACAGAATATCAACGTAAAATAGAAGCTTAATGCTTCCATAGATGAGTGTGGAGAACCGGAGACCCTATTTACAGTAAACTAGGCGTACTAAGTTAGTCCTCAGGAATGACAACGCATCTGCATTTTGATCCTTAATCGAGGATAAATGTAGACGTCTATAGGCCACAGCATCTACTTACCATCAGGTTGACTGTGTACCGTCAGCTCGCTGTGCACCCTAATTTTGTAAAAAAAAAAGTTCTATGGGACGCAAGCTCCGTGGACCAGTGGCTTAGCAATGAGTTGTTGCGCTGGGGGCCGTGGGTTCGAATCCCACACGGAACAAGTATTTGTATGGCCTACAAATAATTGTTTCGGGTCTGGATGTTTGTCCTTGTACAATTTGTGAGGCAGTTTACATAACTGCCTCCACGATACAGAAGAAAATACTAGTGTGGGAGTAACATTTTTTAAGACCAAAATGAAAAAAA